GCGCGATGGAGTTACGAGAAATAGTGACGTCCTTAGGTCCGGCGTATATCAAGCTCGGTCAGGCGCTGAGTATCCGGCCCGATATCCTGTCGCCTGCTGCGATGGTGGAGCTACAGAAACTGTGCGATAAAGTCCCGTCGTTCGATAACGATATCGCGATGGCTCTTATGGAGGATGAGCTTGGGTTGCCCCCGTCGGAGGTGTTTTCGGAGCTTAGCCCGGCTCCGATCGCAGCAGCGTCACTCGGGCAGGTTTACAAGGGTAAACTGAAAACTACTGGGGAAGCCGTGGCTGTGAAGGTTCAGCGGCCGTATGTGCTGGAAACGGTCACGATTGATTTGTACATCATCCGACGGCTGGGGCTGGCTCTCCGCGGTATTCCCCAGATTGCGACGGACGTGGTGGGATTAGTCGACGAGTGGGCCGCACGATTTTTCGAGGAGCTGGATTACGTTAACGAAGCTCGCAACGCGGATCTTTTCGCCGAGTCGATGGCGAAAGACCTTCCCCAGGTCGTGGTTCCGAAGCCCTTCATGGAGTACACCTCTCGGCGAGTGCTGGTAACCCAATGGATCGACGGCGAAAAGCTTTCGCAGAGCACTGCAGACGACGTGGGTTCGCTCGTCAACGTGGGCGTTATTTGTTACTTGAAGCAGCTACTAGACACCGGTCTATTCCACGCGGATCCGCATCCTGGAAACCTAATTCGAACACCCGACGGGAAGCTATGCGTGCTCGATTTCGGCCTGATGACGCGAATCACCGACACGCAGAAGTACGGCATGATCGAGGCGATCGCGCATCTGATCCACCGCGACTACCCCGCGATCGTCGAAGATTTCGTCCTGCTGGATTTTATTCCCGAGGGCGTGAATCTGAACCCGATCATGCCGGTTCTCGCGCGCGTTTTCGACCAGGCCTTGGAGGGCGGCGGCGCGAAGGGGATTAACTTCCAGGAGCTTGCCGCGGATCTCGCGCAGATCACATTCGAGTATCCGTTCCGCATTCCGCCGTACTTCGCGCTGATCATCCGCGCTATAGGCGTCCTCGAGGGGATCGCGTTAGTGGGCGACCCGGAGTTCGCTATAGTCGACGCGGCTTATCCGTACATCGCGCAGCGGCTGCTAACGGACCCGTCTCCGCGCCTGCGCGCCGCGTTAAGATACACCATCTATGGGCGGTCCGGGGTGTTCGACGCCGACCGCTTTATAGACGTCATGGAAGCCTTTGAGACGTTTGCTGCTAACGCCAAGTCAGGGCGGGGCGCGCAATTCGCGGACTGGGGGGCGGACGCGGGTGGGGAAGGAGAAGTGGTGGAGGTCATCTCTACAGATGGTGCTACTGGTGATGTGAATGGAGTTGTGACTGTGACTGTAAACGGGAGTGCTTCTAACGGTGCAGGTTCAACAAGCGTTGCCCTCCCTTCCTCCTCCCAGCCCTCCCCGCTCTTTCCTCCCTCCTTCCTCCCTTCCTCCCCCTTCGACTCCCTCTTCCCCACCACCGCCCTCGTCTTCCCGGAAGCTTCCCTCCAGCTGTCAGAAGCTGAGCTCAGCAACACAGGCAACGCCCGGGCGGCACTCGCCTTCATCCTCTCCCCCCGCGGTGCCTTCTTCCGAGATTTTATTCTCGACGAGGTGGTGAAGGGCGTGGATGCGTTGGCACGAGAGCAGATCGCGTCGCTGCTGAACGTCTTATCGAACCCCACGTCCCCGAGCGCGACCGCTGTGATAAGGAACACGCCCTTGGCGGGAGCGCTGCCGCTGCTCATGCTGCTGCCGCCGCTGCCGGGGCAGCAGCAGGTGCAGGAGCTGGTGCATGCGGTAACCCCACGCGTTACGGACGAGGATCGCGCGGTTCTGGAGAATCTGAGAAAGGTGGTGGCTTTCTTGAGCAGGGGAAGTGATAGCAGCAGCAGCGGTGGCAGTGGGTACAGCACGGAGGATGAAGCTATGTTGGCTGTGGATGGGAGAGTGAACCCCCAGCAGTCGCAGCAGGGTCCGTTGTTGTCAGTGTTGAGGGATCAGATGGCTGCAGTGGCGCTGTCTCAGGAGCTGGGTTCCCTGCTTCCCAGTGTTGCTGTGCAGATTGTGCCTGAAGTAGCGAGTCGACTGTCGTCTCGAGTGACTGCTAGGTTTATTAGAGATGTGTTTCTGGATGCTTGACAGGCTGGTGTTTATGTGGTCTGTACGTGTTCATGTAAGCCTTTTCTTTGCACCTTCATTTTGCTAATGATATTTTTTATTGAGCAGATATTATATCATATGATAACAGATTCTATAAGATCCGCACACAAACTTCAAATGCATCACTACTTTGTACATGCAGTTTGTGCCTTTAGCATGATTTGGTTCGGTTCCGAGTGGTTTCTTGATGTAATACCAAAAACCGCGCCCTATTTCGCAATTGATGTACAAATGACGCCAAACCTCGCGGCGATTGCTGAAGGTGCTGCAATGCTGGTCTGGCGCACGCGCAGAGATCATTCCGTAACTCTGGGTCGGATAAGGTGGCAATTTGCTGTTAGAAACCACATGGTCACTTTTTCACGTGTTTACAATCAATCCTATTGGCTTTCTGTACCACGTGATCGGGTGTGCTTGCTAAAAATGCCTACATCAGCTTCCGAATCAGCAGGAACTGCCACGGCAGCATGTTGACGTGTGCTGTACAAATTGCTCGCACAGTTCGTTGCGGGTCGGGCTTATTTGGGGTTTATGCGTGGTGGAGTGCGTGAACCCAAATTTCTGGCCGAGTGTGGATGACATTGGGCGGCAAGTGCAAAGCTGATTCGTTGTTAGACAGATTCTCCAAAAGTTTACCCGACGAGCCGGTACCCACGCGCTGAGAAGGCATCACTGCAAGCTTCGCTCAAGTCCCTTGCCTTCCCAGCCGATAGAAAATGTCAAATGTACAGGGTACAGTTGTTAGCTTCCCAAACTGTAATTATGAAACCCTGTGATTCATGGAGCAATAATATTTCAAAATTGTTCCACTCTTTCCTTTCCATTCCACCAATCGCTTCACCAATCGCCTTCCTAACCCCCCCTCCATGCGCGTTCCAGACTTTCAGGGCGATTTCAACGAAACGGAACCTGACCTGATCACAAGGAGGTATCTTTTTCTGCCCCAATGCCTTAAAGTCGAGCAAACCTGTTGTCACACTGATTCGGTGACACTGAACATGCGTCTTTCCAGCGCATCATCTCGGTTTTTCCCATCCCGCCCCCGCGATCACGGGAATGTATCTCGAACACGTCGTTTCCGTCTCATTCACTACACTCCTTCCGCCGGACACTCCCCGCGCCGTGATCATTTCCGCACCTCCCTCCAACTCCTCTTCCCCACGGTCTCCGCGCGTGTCAGCACGGCAGCAATGCAGATCCACTTTCACTACAGCCCCGTTAGAAAAAAACAAAAGAAGCGGAACAAATATCCCTCAGCTCCCGCAACTTCCCCCACATCTTCCGCCATTGTGCTCCCCTCCCCTCCGGTCGCGTACTACCGTCCTCCCCCACTGCTCTCTTCTTTCAATAACTCCGCCTCCCCCGGTTATTCCGCTCCGCCCCACTCCCCCCTCCTTCCTCTTCCTCCTCTTCACACACCAAGCCAAACCCTCCATAACTCCTCCCTCGCCGTTAGTATCCTCCATCGGTATTCTATCTTCATACTTTCCTCGTGCTCAAGCATGGATTCCTCGCCGATGTCCTAAACAACGCCCCGTCTCCCCTCGTTGCCAGCTCGGTCATCGAATTATTATATTTCGTGTCTTACATAGATCAGAAAAGGATCTGCGGTGGGTGTAGCATTAGATTCCCTCCTTCTGAAGCTCACTCCCCTGACTTTCAATGGCGACTCAGCTTCGCACGATGCTTGGCGGCCAGGCAGCAGCATTGATCCCACCTAACAATCCTTCCAAAGCCCCGGGCCAGTTCGCCTCTCTCTGCTCTTCCGATGGAGATAACTGGGATGACGTGAAAACCAAGGTATTAACGAATATAACCTCGAAAAAATCAGAGCCATTTCCCGGAATAATAATCTATAACGACTCACGGCCTTTCTTCGGGCCGCATTTCATCAACAGATCCAGCCAAGTCGCTTTTCCTCCGCGATCGGCAATGTTTCGCATCGATATTCCTGTTGGGTATCTCTTCTCCTGCTTTATAACGTTGCTACACTCCCCTTACTTTCCGGTATCAGGTTTGCTTCAAACGCGGACGAGCGACGCATGAGAATGTGACGGACCCCGATGCGACGGATTCGTCGTCGGGCGACGAGAGCTGCGGCACGCACTGGGTCAAGACCGCTCGCGTTAAGACCGAGCCTGAGGTAATCCCGAGCCTGTGGTTGTCCCGAGCCTGCAGTGATCCCGAGCAATCCCGAGCCTGAAATAAGCTGCATTCTGCATTGCGATAAGCAGCGTCGAGTTGAAAGCCTTCCTTTCGGTAATCCTCCCGGTTCTCGAGTTGAAAGCTCTTGTTGCGAGTTCTTTTCTAACGCGGATCCCCTCTCCCTCTCTCCCGCAGGCTGCGGCGCGCGGTGCGCACGGCGCGGATTCCGGGACCGAAGGCGCAACCGAAAGCTGCCTTCCCGCTTCCTCCGGAGCCTTTCCCTTCTCCCCCCCAGCGGGGGTCTCTCCCTTTTCCGCTTCCGCCTCCCCCTTCCCCGCCCCCGATTCCCGATCCTTCCCCCTTGACCCCACTCTCGCGATGCCGCCCCCCTTCTTTCCGCCGTCGTACCCGTCTCCGTTCTTCGCGCCGCACTTGCCGCCGCATTTGCCGCCGCATATGCCGGCTTGCCCGAAGCAGCTCGCCAAGTGGCAGAAGCAGGCCTCCGTTCCCGTCCCCGTGTCTTCCGCCGCAATTCGCGCCGGCCATCGCGGCGACAAGCTTCCCCTGCCGCCTGGTGCTATGTCGATGGGAATTCTCGGGGGACCCTGCTCCCCGTATCCCATGCCCGTGAGTTACGGCGGACCTTACGGCGGGTTTTACGGGCCGGCAGATATGGCAGCTGCGGGAGTAGGGAGTTCCGCTCAAGCTGGTCCCGCTGCTGCGGCGGCGGCGGCGGCGGCGGCGGCGGCGGCGGCGGCAGCGCCGAGAGCAGCAGGGCGGAGCGGCGTTTCCGCTCGACCCAATCTGCCCTCCGCTCCCTCCGCCCCGTCCGCCCTGTCCGCCCCTTCCGCTTCCGCCCGTCCTTCCCCTCAGCCTGCTCCCGCCGCTCCTTCCGCTTCCAGCCCTCCCTCTCGTCGCTCCGCCATTTCTCCTCCTCCCGCTTCCTCCCCTCCTTCCGCTTCTTCCGCCCGTTCCGCCCTGTCCGCGCCCTCCGGGCCCTCCGCCACTCTCGGGCCCGCATCCAGTGCACGTGCACCGCACCCTCCGCCCCGCGCGTCTTCCGCGGGCCCCGCTACATCCTTCCCTCGCGCCCCCGCTGGTGTTCCCGCTCCCGCTGGCGCAGTTCCTCCCGCGGGCGCAGCTTCCTCCGCGGGCGCGCAGGGCGCGCGGAACTACCCGCCCATGTACTGGCGGGTCGCGCCGCCATCAGCCGCCGCGTCTATGCCGATGAGCTACTTAACGGCCATGCCTGGAATGGCCGGCAGTTCTGCCGGCCAGAACATGCCGGCGCAGTATGGAGCCCTGTACGCGGTAGAAGCTTCCCCGTTTCTTCCGTTCGGGCCGCATGAGGGGGCTTTTGCCTTTGCGCCGATCATGAGCGCGGGGGGGCTGGCGCAGGAGCAGGGGGGAGCGGAGATGGCTGGGATGGGCTTCTTACCGCAGGGGATGGGGGTAATAGGGGGGATGGTGGGGATGGGGGGAATGGCGGCGATGGCGGGGATGGGGGGGATGGGGGGAATGGAGATGGGGGGCATGGGGGGTTTGCAAGGGTTTCATATGCTGCAGGGCATGCAAGGCATGAACGGCATGCAAGGGGTGCAAGGCATGCAAGGACTGCAGCGAGTGCAGAGCATGCCAGGCATGCAAGAGTTACAGGAAATGCAGCGGCAGCAAGCTATGCAAGGGGCGCATGGGTTACAAGGTCTGCAAGGCATACAAGGCATGCAAGGGATGCAAGGACTACAGGAGTTACAAGGCATACAAGGCATGCAAGGGATGCAAGGACTACAGGAGTTACAAGCCATGCAAGGCATGCAAGGGATGCAAGCGTTCCAAGTGATGCCACCGATGCATGGCATGCAGACACTACATGGCATGCAGAGCATGCAAGCAATGCATGCCATGCAAGGCATGCAGGGGACGCAGGGGCTGCAGGCAATGCAGGGGAAGGAGAAGCAGCACGGGAAGCTGAAGCGGGGCGAGGGCAAGGACAAGGCGGCTCACCGCTACCGGGGAGTGAGGCAGCGGCCCTGGGGCAAGGTGAGAGTTTTGTATACATTTACTTTTTGTAACAACATGTTTATTATGTTTATTGTTTATTAGCATACTTGTTCAACGAACGAAGAGCTGGGAATCGATCGCGCAAGCAAACAAGGAGCAGAGAATAGAGAAAGGTTAAGGGAAGCTGTAGTAGCCCTCACCTTAAACCCCATCCCTCTCTCTCTACCTACCATATACCCCTCTCTGTTATTGTCACAGTGGGCGGCTGAGATCCGGGATCCAGCGAGGGGAGTGCGGTTGTGGCTGGGCACGTATGACACAGCAGAGGACGCTGCAAGGGCATATGACGCTGCTGCTAGAACCATACGCGGCGCCGATGCCCAGACAAACTTCCCCGACCCAAACCCCCCTGCTGCTGCTGCTGCTGCTGATGGTGGTGCTGGTGGTGCTGCTGGTGATGCTGCCTCTGGTGGTGGTGGTGGTGCTGCTGCTGCTGCTGCTGGTGATGGTGGTGGTACGGGGTCCTTAGCTGCTCGTGATGGTGGTGTTACTGCTTCCGCTGCTGCTGGTAGTGGTCTTGGCACCAGCAGTGTGGCTACTGCTGCTGGTGATGCTGCTGCTGCTACAGCTGCTGCTGCTACAGCTGCTGCTACAGCTGCCTGCGTCAACGGCATGTCTCCGTTTCTGCGCACCAAGAGGAACAGCAAGGCGCACAAGTACATGCAGGAGTATTGCAGTGACACCGAGAGGTGAGCGCCTAGTTGCAGCAATGCATAGCGGTAACAGCAATGCACTTGTGTGTGTAAAGGTAGCACAGCAGCAAGGCGCACAAGTACATGCAGGAGTACTGCAGTGACACCGAGAGGTGAGCCCCTAGCTGTGCACAGGCACAGCAATGCACAGTGTCTTGTGTGTTCAAAGGAAGCAACAGCAAGTCACAAGTACATGCAGGAGTACTGCAGTGACACTGAGAGGTGAGCAGTCAGCAGCAGCACTTTAATCCCCATCCCAGCATGTGCGTTGTAGTTCCGATTTCCAGGACCACCCTTTTCAGGAATTTATTGCTTTTCAAAGCACACGCCCTTTTTAGAACCTGATTGCTGTTCAGAGGCCAAGCCCACGGTTGATTTCCTTCTCTAACCTTTCTTTTCCTTGGTCTCTGCCGTTTTTTCCCGTCGTCTTTTCTCCGCTCCGTATGTCAGTTTTGCAAGCGAAGTTGCATCGGAGCTATCAGACTGCAACAAAATGCTGGGCTCAGGTGCTTCAGGTGCCTCAGGTGTCATTCCCACCGGCACGAGCACAAACTACGCAGTCAGAAACTCTGCTGCTGCCGCTGCTTCTGCTGCTGTTGCTCCCGCTGCTGCCAGTCCAGGTTCAGAAAAGGTTGAAAAGGCAGAGAGGGTGGAGGGCAATGGTAACGCCGATGTGCTTATTGATCTGCCGGCTCAATTCACGGACATGTCAGCGTGCCTGCTGTTTCCAAGCTCTGGCCCTGACGCTGCTGCTCTAGGTGCTGCTTCAGGTGGCGCTTCAGGTGCTGCTGATCCAGGTTCTGCCACTGTTGTTGGTGTTCCCGCAGTGTATGGCGATGCTTCAGGTGGTTCAGGTGCTCTTGCTGCTTATGGTTCATGTGCACGAGAGCAAGGTGCATCAGGCATGACGATGAAGCTAGAGCAATGCCAAGATGATGATCCGCATGCTCCATGTCAAGATGTTGATGCTGGCATGTGGACTCTAGACATGCCCCTATACTTAGAAGTAGGAGATGATGGCATGGATAGTATCTTATGGTGAAGGGAGTGTAGGTTTTGTGTAGAGATTGCAAGTTTGTTTATTTTGTGCCCAAGTCATTTCTGTACAAGGTTTGATGTTATGCATTTAGTTCCCTTAGAGGACGTTACGCTGTGCGTCTCCAAAACATGGCTAGGACTGCTGCTGACGTGTCGACCTCAGTTCCCCCGGTTTCTGGAGGTAACCCTAGAAGCTCGGAGGTGCGGTTTTGGCGTGAGGACAAGATTCTGATTCTCTGTTCCTGTCCATCAAACCTTCTGGGTGACTCAAAAATCTGATGAACTACAACTTGCTTGGTAAAAAGGGGTACCTTGGTGAGGCTGTTTTTAGTGGGAGCGCAAAACGTTTTGTTTCGCCCTCCAGACAACAAGTTCCGTTCCGTTCCGTCTGTTCTGTGGTGTTCCTTTCAGTGTCACCTACACCCACCGACCCTCAATTGAACTCCACCCCACACGTGAAGTTCGCGTGGTTCGCATGGTTCGCGTGGGACAAGTGCTGCCTGTCAGATTTTTCCACACCAGCCGCCACGCTTCAATTTCGACGTGTTCTGTAGTTCCCTGCTGGCCGTAACCGAACCTACCGCAGTGGTTCGTAATTCCTGGGCAATCTCTGGCCGTCAGTTCCATCACCGAGCACCCAGACCTACGGTCCGCCCGTCCCTCGGAAACTCCCCCGCCGGAGCTGTACACCTCGAGAACTCCCTGCCTGTGCCTCACTGGTCTGGCGCGGGGAACCACCAGCGTGGGGGGAACCACCCTGTCGTCCGTCGCCCCGTACAGTCACTTCCCTCCCTTCAACCTCGTCTCCCTCTCCCTTCCTCCGGCTTCGTCAAATCCCAGGGTTTCATGAAGCATGAACAGGAACCTGAAACTACTCTAGAAGGGCACTGACCTGACCAGGTTTTTGTGTGTGATCAGCGTGTGTGTGTGTGGGATTGTGTTTCCACATCACTGAATATTCTCTTGCTCAATCAATGGTCTCTCAGTACCAGTGAAGCAGGTTTTGAAACCCTAATTTCTCAGTTCCTGTCTTTATACGAATGTTTATTCACTGAGTCGGCTCATGTAGCACGGCTGCATCTCTTGTTACGGCTGTCCATGGCTATGGTAACCACTGGAAGAATGCTAGTTGGTTGTTGAGAATTTTCAGAGACCAACTAATCTCCTGTCAGGGCTGTCCATGGCTATGGTAACAACTGGTAGAATGCCTTCTTCCGATCACACTGCCGTTCCTGATCCTTGGACCTCTCGCGCTTCCGCTTCAGGTAACAGTTTTTCATGTGCACTTGTATGGCCAGCATAACGAAACGAGGCTTTCTGATGTCGAAATTCGCCGTCACAATACGTTAATTGACCCTTACTTGCGATAAGTTCTCAGAACCTGCACTGTCTGAGAAGCCGTTTCGTTAATGAAATGCGTGTGGTTTTCACGATCAGCAAGTTTGTCTTTTGTTTCCTTTCAGGACCTTTGCCTGGCGCGATGCTTCCGTCCGCTGCACCCAGACCGACTCTACATCGTTCTTATAGTCAGGGAGTTTCGCGGTGTCCCGTTAATAGACCATCGACCGCCATTCACGGAATCCCGGAGCTCTCCACGTCTCCTTCCTTCGAGGTTGGTAGCAGTCTCAGCCTTCCCACACACTCGTCGATTTCGTTTCGATTCGTTTTTTTTTTTTAAAGGCACTCTTTCAGTTTGTTTGACATAGGTTGTCCATTGTCTGACTCGGATGGAAGATCACCTTTTCTTCGTCCAATATCAAATCTCTCCGTTTTGTCGCTTTATTTGCGGATAAGCTTTTGACCCGTGCACTCTCACATCTTTTTGTATCCGCGACCTTCGCACCCGCTTCCTCAATCCCACCCACCATCAGGAGGCCTCGCTTCTTATAGGCGAGGCCATGCCTTTCGATCGCACGAACTGGCACCCTCGCGCCCTCGGCTCCTCCGCATCCGTTCCCGAACTCTCCACGTGGCATCCCGGGGATCACGGGGTCGGCGCTAACGCCGCCTCGAACAGCCGATTCGCCTCGTACGCACTCGATCCGGCGAATCAAGGCTCGGCTCCCGCCCGAACCAGGCCAGGTTCGGGCCGAACCTGGAGCCTCATGGAGGAGGTGGAAGGGTCGGAGGACGACCCGGATCACGTGTCCGGCGGTGGTTCGTGGGACAGCGGGCGGAGAGCGCAACTAGAGTATGCCAGTGGGTTGCCTATGGAAGGTAGAATTACAAGCGGTGCAACGATGGGGTATTCTGGAGGGGTGGAGTACGGTGCGAGGAGCAGCAGTTGCGGTCAGCTGCCAGGGGTAGAGGAATCCACGCCTTTGGATAGTTACAAAGGCAAAATTAACAACTTCAACAACGGCAGCAGCAATGCTCAATTCAGCCATACAGGATTCGTGTTCACGGCCAGTCGGCCAGAAGAGCACGCAGAGTTCGGGCCTCGTGCGGGGCTTGCGAGCAAGGCGCACGGGCGACAGGCTAACGGGTGGGGTCCCAGCTCGTTAGGCAGCGTAGCAGCAGCAGCAGGAGGAGCAGGAGGAGTAGCAGCAGCAGCAGGAGCAGGACGAGGAGGGATGCAAGCGGATCGAGTGGGGGTGAGAGAGGGAGGCGGGTTGGGGAGGGGAGCAGGCGAGGCAAGGTCGCTGCCACTGCGGTGGGCCGGGGACAGGTTCTTAGAAACCGTCAGGGAGCATGAGAGCTTTGTGCACAGGCCCACGGTCGGCGCGGCTGCTGCAGAAACGGGTGATATGAAGCCTGTTGACGTCAAGGCTGGTAACGCCGAGGCAGAGAGGCCCTGGTTTCCTGGTGCATCTGGAGAGGCGATTCCCGTGGGTAGCGGAGGGGCGGGTTTTGAGAATTCTCAGAGGCCTTGGTTTCCTGGTGCATCTGGAGAGGCGATTCCCGTGGGTAACGGAGGGCCGTTTTTCGGAGCTTCTGCTGCGAGTGTTGGGCCGTTTTTGGCGCAAAGCGGAGAGCTGTTTTCGGGTCTTCCAGTGCAGGAGCAGCAGCGGTGGGCGCTTCCGGAGATGGGGTGGGGGGACGCGGGGGGCGCTGGGGCGGAGGAAGCGGGAAGGGGAGGTGGCGGAAGAGAGGAGAGGGGGGCGGCGGTAAGGGACGACGGGGCGGACGTGGAGTTCGCTGATTGGCTGATGGTTCCTGGGGAAGGGGAAGGGGAGATTCCTGGGGATTTGTTAGGAGATGGAGGAGGTCAATGTGTGCCTGCTCGTCATGCTGGTGCAGTTTCTGCTGGTGATGCTTCAGCTCGTGAGGATGTTTCTGGTGGTGAGCTTTCTGGTGGTGCTGTTTCTGGCGTTGCGGAGTGCACAGCAGAGGGAGCGCAAGGCCGGAGTGCGCAGAACGGGGAAGCTTGTATGGGGGAAGAAGGGTCGACTCAAGAGCGGGAGGGAGCCTTAGGGCGCGAGGGGGGTGGGGAGTGGACACTGGAGCGAGAAGGAGAGGAAGGAGACGTGCTGTCGGAGTGTCCTAGCCTGCCTGACGACCTCGCCTGGTGCTCCTGGCCCGGCTGTGAAGACATGGCTACTACCCATGGCCCTTCTCACGGCCCACCTCGTGCGTCCGCGCATGTACTCTTGCATGGCTTTTCGCGAGCAGCAGATGGAGCGGAGGCAGCAGGAGCAGGTACTGGAGAGTTAGGTGGTGGTGCTGTTGCTGCTGCTGGTTTGGTATCTGGTGTCGACGGGGTACCAGCCCCTCTGTGCCGCGGGCACCAGGCGCTCACGTCAGACAAGCGAGTGCGGGGCGGGTGCCTCATGAGCGTGCTACAGTCGGGCGCAGCTGCGGAGAAGCTGGCGCATGCAGGCCACGTGGATGCGGATGTAGAGGGGAATTTTGCTAATGATAATGGAGAAGGTGATGATGACGATGGTGACGATGATGGTGCTGACGTGGCAGCCTTAGAGCTCAATACGGACACAGATGCGGATTTCAGCGCCTTTGCTGCCCCTTTTGCGTCCGGCCCCTTTGCTGCTAGTCCGTTTATTAGCGGGTTCAGCGGATACGGCCATCCCTCTGGGGGGCACATGCTATTAGAAGAGCCCTCGTTTGATCTCGACTTAGCAGCCTTCTGGGGGTTTGGGTCAGCGCCTGAAGACGCGGCTGGGGTGACTGCAGCGGGTGTGACTGTACCGAGTGTTTCAGGAGCGGAGGGAGCAGTAGCGGAAGCAGCAGGGGCCGGAGGGAAGAGCGTGGGGGCGGAACCTTTAGGTGGAGTGAGGGAGGCGGAAGCAGAGGGAGCCGCTGCAGGGAGAGCAGCAAGGGATGGAGATGGGCCAGCGGAAGGGCAAGGGCAAGGGGAAGGGGAAGGGGAGGGGGAGAACGAGGAGGTTATGGAAGGAGCGGACACAGGGGAAACAGCGGGTCTGGGCGGGGAAGCAGGGGAGGCAATGGACTGTGATATGATGTTCATGTCATGGGCTATGCCCCTCGTGCCTCCTGCTCAGCAGCCCAAGGTCTCAACCCAGCAGAACAAGCCTTTGGCTAGTCAGGTCAAGATGAAATCCGCCCAGGAGAAAGCGCAGGTTGAGAAGCAGGTTAAGGCAGAGCAGGCTCAGGGTCAGGTCAATCGCGTGCAGGTGCCAGCCCAGGTGCCAGCCCAGGTGCCTGATTCAGATGCTGGGACTCTCGCTGCTGGGACTCTCGCTGCTGCCAATGCTGGTAGTAGTGGTGGTACTGCTTCAGGGGCTGCTGCTACTGCTGGTGGCGGTGGCAGCTGTGTGGGCGCTGCAACTACTGCTGCCGAGCAGCCCCTGAAGCAGGATCGGCCAGGGAAGCCAAACCGGCTTGCTGCTCGAGGTACGTTCTGCCCTTCCTTTCCCACCCTGCCCTCTCTCCCTAACCATTCCCGCCATCCGCTGCCTTCCCTCCCGAGTCCCGTCCCGACCCTTTCCCTCCTTCCCATACCTTCCCTTCACACCCCTTTCCATCGTAACCTGCCTTCCCTCACTACCCCATCTGTTGTCCCAAAGTTTTCCTCCATAGACCCTATTCTCTCCTGAGCTTGTGTCTCGCCTCTGCTGTTTCGTTGCCTTGTCACTGCGTGTTTCATCTCCCTTTCTTTCCACCCTCTCCATCCCCTCTCTCCTTCAGATATCCCAACGCGAAAGAGAGCAGCAATGTCATCAGCTGTCTCTGAGCCTCGCCCCTCCACCAGCAGCCCCATGCCCTCTCCTTCAAACTGCTCCCACACCCCCCTCATGTTTCATCTCTCCCCTCATTTCCTCCCTGTCCCATCCCCTCTCTCCTTCAGATATCCCAACGCGAAAGAGAGCAGCAATGTCATCAGCTGTCTCCGAGCCTCGCCCCTCTACCAGCAGTCCCATGCCCTCCCCTTCCAACTGCTCCCACACCCCGCTCCTCCCCTCCCACTCCGTGGGCACCCTCCCCCCCGCGCGCACCTCCCCACCTCTGCACCGCTCTACATCCGCCTCCACCCTTTACCCTCGAGCGTCGGCAGCCCTGACTGTCAGCGGCCCCTTGAAAAGAACCGCCACCCACGCTGGCCCGTCTTCTGCCCGCGCTATACCCTCTAAGAGGCTCTCCGGGTCTCGTTATAAGGGACCGGTAGGAGCATCAGCTGCGTTTGCTGCGCCTGGGAATCCGTTTGGCGTGTCCCCGTCCCCTCCTGGGAATTCCAGTGTGTTCTCCCATCTGTCCACGTCAGCACCGCCTGCCTCAGCGTTCCCGCCTCACATGTATGCAATGTCGTCTGTGGCGCATCCGTCCTTAGCGCATCTCTCCTCAGCGAATCATGCCCTAGCACAAGGAATCATGATGCAAGAGCAGAGAGGGGTGACAGGGGGCATGGGCATGAGCATGGGCATGGGCATGGGCATGGGGAGTGTTAATGCCACACACCATGGCGCCTATGGCGCTGCTGCTGGCAGTTATGCCACAGCAGGAGGTTATGCTGCTGCTGCTGCTGCTGCTGCTGCTGCTACTGCTTCTGCTGCTGCCGCTGCTGTTGCTTCTGGAGGGTACAGTGCACATATGGCATTGCACAGACATCCCCATGCCCCTTCCAGCTTCCACGGCTTGTCGTATCTCGCCCACTCGCCCCCTTCCACTGCCCACTCCTTCCTCTCCCACTCGCCTCCCACACCACACTCCTTCCACCACCACCACTACCACCCAAGCCACTCCCTGCCTTCCATTCATAACGAGCAAATGCAAGGATTGCTACAGGAAAAGGGCCGCCGAATTCGCCCTCGCGCCGACCCAGCTGCCACTATCGGGTTTGCTTATAAAGGGGCTGTTTCCGCGCCGGAGCCTGCTGCTTCCGAGGCAGGTGCGGGAGGTTCGGCTGCGGCTGCGGCTGCGGCTGCAGGTTCGGCGGGCGACGGGCTGGGTTCCACAGGACTTGGTTCTAAGGGACTTGGCACTCGCATTAACTCCTCTGCTAGCCTCTGTACTGGTGGTGCCTCTTTGCCTAAGGACAAGGGGAAAGGCAGACCTGGTGAAGGTAGACTAGGGGGAGGTGGATCGGAGAAACCGGTTGAAACAGCAGTGGTGGGAGGGGGCAGGGCTGGTATAGAGGCGGCAGTCTCTGCAGCAGCAGCGACTGCATCAGAAACTGCACTAGCAGCAGCTGGTGATGTGAACCGTATTCCACCCATGGTGCTGGTGCCTTCGTCCATGCGTGGTGACGAAGAGGCTTGTATGGGGGATGCGTCTGGGGCAGCTGGGACTGGTGCTGCTGCTGTCAGTAGTGCTGTGAGTATGCAGGTGGAGGGAGAGGTGGAGAAGGGGAAGGGGGACGAAGGGGCAGAGCAAGGGGTAGCTACAGCAGCTAGTGGTGCTGCTGCTGCTGTCAGTAGTGCTGTGAGTATGCAGGTGGAGGGAGGGGTGGAGAAGAGTAAGGGGGGTGAAGAGCCAAAGCAAGGGGCAGAAACAGCAGCTAGTGGTGGTGCTGCTGGTGCTGCTGCTGCTGCTACTGGGAGCGCTGCTGTTGCTGGTAATCCTGCTGGTGTTAATAGCAGTGGGGGCAGTAGCTCCACTGCTGTTGCTGCTGCTGCTACTGCAGCTACAGCTACGGCTGCTGCTGCTGGTGCTGCTGCTGCAAGCAGCGCAGCAGGTCAAGGGGTTCGCAGTGGAGGCAGCAGTAGCAGCAGCAGCGGCAGCCAAAGAAAAGGCTCCCAACCCCCAGCGCTGTACCCCATAAAAGCATCCCCGATAGCAGTGCCCGCCCCAGGAAAGAAAGCCCAGGGAGGAGGTGTAGCAGCAGCAGCACTCTCGATACAGCAGCAGCAGCTGAAGGCAAGGCAGCAGCACCTGGCAGCATCAGCCCCAGCAGCACCTGTGGGTTCTCTCATTATGAGCTCATCCTTTTCCCCCACCCCCTCCTCTCCTCTCACTCACCAACAAGGTCTTTATGGCTTCCCTTCGTCTGCTAGCGTGGCGCCTGGAGCAGGGTTCCTACCAGGGTCTCTGGGAACAGCAGGTGCACTGTCAGGTGGATTTTCAGGTGGCCAGCCAGGTGTTTTCTCAGGTGGTTTCTTCCATGGGAGGGTCCCTGGGTCTGTTGCAGCACCTGAGCGCATGCACCTGATGATGGCCGGTGGGGCTGGAGCTGTTCGCCAGATTTCTCCTGGGATGGGCCAGGTGGTCGGCCAGGTGCCTGCAACAATGGTCCAGGTGCCAGGCGGAATGATATCTGGGGTTTCACCTGGAGGCACAGCTTCCCTGCACCAAACACACCACCCGATGCACCACCCGTACCACCAACACATATATCACCACCCTCAGCAGCACATGGTGGGATTTGCACCTGCAGGTGCAGCAGGGGTGCCAGGCGCGAGAATGGGCATGTATGGCATGGGAGGGGGCAGCATGAGTGTGAGCATGAGCAGTGGGGGCAGCAGCATTGGGAGTGGGGCAGGAATGGGTGGGCTGGCAGGTACAGGGGGGCAGGCAGGGGGTGCAGGGACAGCGGGGGTGGGAGGAGGGGCAGGAGGAGGGGGGGGAGTGGGAGGAGGAGTGGGGGCAGGGGGCGTGAGTGCAGAGCTCATAGTGAAGAGGAAGAGGGGGCGGCAGAAGAAGGTGCCTTCTAAAATCGGCCCTTGTGGTGCCACCACCAATCTGCGCCCCCTCGCCCCGAGAAACGCTGCTGCTGCTGCCACTGCATCTGCTGGTGCTGGTGGTGCTGGTGGTGCTGGCAGTGGTAGTGGTTCTGCTGGTGCTGCTGCTGGGGGAATTGGGGGAGGAGGAGTGGGGGGGGCAGGGGGGGCAGGAGGAGCAGGAGGGGCAGGAGGGGCAGGGGTGGGGATTGGGTATGGAGCTGCTACAGCCGCTGCTACAGCCGCAGGAATGGCTGTAGCAGGACCAGCGTTACCCCCTGGTTCCTCAGCTCAATTCGGCCTCCAGAGAATGATAATGGTACCTGCTACTGCAGCACAGCCCGCATTGGTCCGCCTCCCTTCCCATCCACAGCCCTCGTTTCTGTCACACTTGCCAGGAGGACACCGCTACCCCATGCCTGCGCACCCGCCCATCCACTTCAATGGGGGCATCATGGGCGTGGGTAGTGCTGCCGCCCTGCCGCCCCATACGGCCCAAAAGTAGCGGTGATTGCAGCGGGTGGGGGAATCATGGGCATGGGTAGTGCTGCAGCACACCGCTATCCCTTACCTGCGCACCCGCCCATCCACTTCAATGGGGGCATCATGGGCGTGGGTAGTGCTGCCGCCCTGCCGCCCCATACGGCCCAAAAGTAGCGGTGATTGCAGCGGGTGGGGGGATCATGGGCATGGGTAGTGCTGCAGCACACCGCTATCCCTTACCTGCGCACCCGCCCATCCACTTCAATGGGGGCATCATGGGCGTGGGTAGTGCTGCCGCCCTGCCGCCCCATACAGCTCAAAAGTAGCGCCTCAAAAATAGCGGTGACTGCAGCAGGTGGAGGCATCATGGGCGTGGGCAGTGCTGCTGCCCTTCCACCCCATACGGCCCTGTGTTCCTTTCAAAGCAGCAGTTTTAGGGGGATGGCGGCAGGAGAGGGGGGGGGGGGGGGGTGTTTGAGTCGACTCAAAACACCGCCTCCCCACACGGCCCTGTTTCCCTTTCAAAGCAGCAGTTCCAGGGGCATGGCGGCAGGAGGAGAGGGGGGGAGAGTGGTGTGTCTGAGGGAGGGGAGAGAGGGGGTAGTAGCAGTGATGGTGGGTGCAGAGGGCAGGGGAGAACTGGCCGTTGATTCATTGACCGGCCATTGATTTGTTCCTTTCATTCTTTCCGCACATCTCGAAACACTTCACTCCACTTTCCCCCAGCAACCCCCCTCCTCTTCCTCCCTCCCACGCTGCTCCTCCTCTCCAACTTCCCAAGCCATCTCCCCTCTCCTCTCCCCGGGTTTCCTGGGGCGTTTTAGCCCAACAGCTTTCACCAGATCAGCCAGCCAGGGGTAAGATTTTGTTGTTAGGTGAAAGGAGGCGGCAGGCAGCAGCTCAGTCATGCGGGTGTGTGTTGAACTGCTTATTTGCTTGATTGTGTTATGACAAGTGTAAATATTCCATCACCTGAATTCAGGATAATTTTTAATTACTGTAGTTCCTAGGTTGTGGGTTGTTTGTGACAGGTTGTTGCATGCGCTCATTATTCTCCACGAAAGCTGACAGAAATGAGGGTGAAAACAGCAAGCGCCGAATCTTGTGTTGCTAATTCCTGTTCCATTGGACAAGTTGTAATGATGCTACCTGTACCTTTGTGACTAAAAATTTTATACAGCATCAGAATAACTCGTTAAAAAACAATATCCGTTACAAAGAGCACACATACCTATCGGATTACTCATCTGTGATAAGTTTTTGCAAGACAGTTGGCACGTCAAAGTGTATATTGTTGAGAGTTAGGTTGAAGTCCTTACTGTAGACCTTCGAGACACGTCGGACCGTCTCCTGCAGGACGGGCAAAGATGCGAGGAAGCATAGTGCAAGAAGGGATGAGAGCAGGAACATTATCAGTGAAAACTCAAATCCACAACTATAGAGGGGGTTTTTGCGAGAGGAGCAAATTGAGGTGAGAGGAGCACGCCCAGTCAGGACCTGGAAACAAATTCCTCAGTCAGAAGCATTGAGTGCATCAAAGAAGGGAAGGGGCCGTGCCGTATGAAACAGGATAGTCCGCAAACAAGATGACACGGTATTATGAAATCACATGCACAAATAGGACAATACACACCATCCGGGCGCATACATGACATACTGTACCAAATCTCCCTTGTTGCATATCCCACCATACCACATATCCAGTCTCATATATCACAGTTCACATACGGTTAGCCATATCATAAAATGCACACCCCATATCCCATATAGCACATCCTATATCACAAAGCTCAAGCTCGCATCACATATCACATACACCCTATATCCCATATATTCCAAATTGTACACCACACATCACATGTTACAAAATCACTCACCGCATCATACAGCCGAGCGAGCTTGAGGTCTGTCCCGGTCGCATGCGCTTCTTTCCCAAACTTAAACAGGTGTATATTCGAGTGGTTGTAACGCGCGGTTACCACTCGAACCCCGTCCTCCAAGCTCTCGAACCGCCCCACATAGTCGTACTGTATGTGGCCCAAGGCGCAGAGATCCACTTGCGGAGTGATGTGGCGGTCTAGGGGTTTCTGCCCTCTTATAAGGTGCTCCACTAAGCGCATAAAGTCGTGGAAGGATACGAGCTGCGTGGCTGGGTCTTTGAGAAGGTCTAAGAAAGGCTGTATGGTTCCGAATAATTCCTGATGGGAGCAGATGGAGGGGGAAGAGAAGGGATAAGGAGGAAAGGGAAAAAGAAGAGAGGTTTATTTAGTCGACTAAAAAACCGCCCTACATAATCGTACTGTATGTGGTCCTAGGCGCAGAGGTCCACTTGTGGGGTGATGTGGCGGTCCAAGGGCTTCTGCCCCCTTATAAGGTGCTCCACTAAGCGCATAAAGTCGTGGAAGGATACGAGCTGCGTGGCTGGGTCTTTGAGCAGGTCTAAGAAGGGTTGTATGGTTCCGAACAGTTCCTGATGGGAGCAGATGGAGGGGGAAGAGAAGGGATAAGGAGGAAAGGGAAAAAGAAGAGAGGTATATTTAGTCGACTAAAAAACCGCCCCACATAGTCGTACTGTATGTGGTCCTAGGCGCAGAGATCCACTTGCGGGGTGATGTGGCGATCCAAGGGTTTCTGCCCCCTTATAAGGTGCTCCACTAAGCGCATAAAGTCGTGGAAGGATACGAGCTGCGTGGCTGGGTCTTTGAGCAGGTCTAAGAAAGGCTGTATGGTGCCGAACAGTTCCTGATGGGAGCAAATAAAGGGGGAAGAGGAGTGAGAAGAGAAGGGAGGAGATGAAGAGACAATCACTCCTCCAAGCTCTTGAACACCCTCCTCCAAGCTCTCGAACCGCCCCACATAGTCGTACTGTATGTGGTCCTAGGCGCAGAGATCCACTTGCGGGGTGATGTGGCGATCCAAGGGTTTCTGCCCCCTTATAAGGTGCTCCACTAAGCGCATAAAGTCGTGGAAGGATACGAGCTGCGTGGCTGGGTCTTTGAGCAGGTCTAAGAAAGGCTGTATGGTGCCGAACAGTTCCTGATGGGAGCAAATAAAGGGGGAAGAGGAGTGAGAAGAGAAGGGAGGAGATGAAGAGACAATCACTCCTCCTAGCTCTTGAACGCCCTCCTCCAGGCTCTTGAACCGCCCCACGTAGTCGTACTGTATGTGATCCAAGGCGCAGAGATCCACTTGCGGGGTGATGTGGCGGTCTAGGGGTTCTGCCCCCTTATAAGGTGCTCCACTAAGCGCATAAAGTCGTGGAAGGATACGAGCTGTGTGGCTGGGTCTTTGAGCAGGTCTAAGAAGGGCTGTATGGTTCCGAATAGTTCCTGATGGGAAGGAAGGCAGGACAGGAAGGCAGGGGAGGAAAGAGAAGGGAAGGGATGGGGAGGAGGAGAGGAGAGGGCGTTTGAGAAGGTCTAAGAAGGGTTGTATGGTGCCGAATAGTTCCTGATGGAGAGGGAAGGAAAGAAGAGAAGGGGGAAGAGGAGTGAGAAGAGAACGTCTTTGAGGAGGTCTAAGAAGGGCTGTATGGTGCCGAACAGTTTCTGATGGGAGAAGATGGAGAGGGAGAGGGATGCGAAGGGAAGGGAAGGAAATTGAAGGGAGGAAACGAAGGAGAGAGAAAGGGAAGGTAGGAGGAGACGGAAGGGCCTTCTAGGTGATCTAAGAAGGGCTGTATGGTTCCAAACAGTTCCTGTTGTTGGGTGCAGATGACAGGGGACGGGGAAGAGAAGAAAGAACAAACAGTTGAAGGTCGCCCAGCGATCCCCCCTCCCTCCCTCACTCACTGTCCTCCCTCTCCCTCCCCACCTCCTACCCACCTTGTTCCAGAACTCTCTGGTGCCCCATCCTTTGGTGCGATCTGGAGCATCCGTGACAACCAGCTTGTTCAGGTACGTGGACACCACCCTTGAGAACGGATTCCGCACGAACGTGAATTTGAACAGCCCTCGCCGCGTCATGGCCCGCGTCGCCTCCTTCTCGGTGAACTTCTGGGAAAGATCGCCCAGCCCGCTGCCCTCGTAGCTGTGTGCGAGGAGATGGTCCTCCGGCTTGGGCAGGTGCAGCATGGCTCGTAACCACATGCGCCAACTCGTGCAGGCCACTTTAGGCAGGCCGCAGTAGGCTAGATTGAGTGATGCTGCAGTGAGCAGGGCAGTGGGGATGGGGGGTGCAAGGAGGTTGAGAGTGGTTAATGGGAGGCGGAACGGTCGCCCACTTCTCACTGAAAACGGTCGCCTCCTTCTCGGTGAACTTCTGGGAGAGGTCCCCCAGCCCGCTGCCCTCGTAGCTGTGTGCGAGGAAATGGTCCTCCGGCTTGGGCAGGTGCAGCATGGCTCGTAACCACATGCGCCAACTCGTGCAGGCCACTTTAGGCAGGCCGCAGTAGGCTAGATTGAGTGATGCTGCAGTGAGCAGGGCAGTGGGGATGGGGGGTGCAAGGAGGTTGAGAGTGGTTAATGGGAGGCGGAACGGTCGCCCACTTCTCACTGAAAACGGTCGCCTCCTTCTCGGTGAACTTCTGGGAGAGGTCCCCCAGCCCGCTGCCCTCGTAGCTGTGTGCGAGGAAATGGTCCTCCGGCTTGGGCAGGTGCAGCATGGCTCGTAACCACATGCGCCAACTCGTGCAGGCCACTTTAGGCAGGCCGCAGTAGGCTAGATTGAGTGATGCTGCAGTGAGCAGGGCAGTGGGGATGGGGGGTGCAAGGAGGTTGAGAGTGGTTAATGGGAGGCGGAACGGTCGCCCACTTCTCACTGAAAACGGTCGCCTCCTTCTCGGTGAACTTCTGGGAGAGGTCCCCCAGCCCGCTGCCCTCGTAGCTGTGTGCGAGGAAATGGTCCTCCGGCTTGGGCAGGTGCAGCATGGCTCGTAACCACATGCGCCAACTCGTGCAGGCCACTTTAGGCAGGCCGCAGTAGGCTAGATTGAGTGATGCTGCAGTGAGCAGGGCAGTGGGGATGGGGGGTGCAAGGAGGTTGAGAGTGGTTAATGGGAGGCGGAACGGTCGCCCACTTCTCACTGAAAACGGTCGCCTCCTTCTCGGTGAACTTCTGGGAGAGGTCCCCCAGCCCGCTGCCCTCGTAGCTGTGTGCGAGGAAATGGTCCTCCGGCTTGGGCAGGTGCAGCATGGCTCGTAACCACATGCGCCAACTCGTGCAGGCCACTTTAGGCAGGCCGCAGTAGGCTAGATTGAGTGATGCTGCAGTGAGCAGGGCAGTGGGGATGGGGGGTGCAAGGAGGTTGAGAGCGGTTAATGGGAGGCGGAACGGTCGCCCACTTCTCACTGAAAACGGTCGCCTCCTTCTCGGTGAACTTCTGGGAGAGGTCCCCCAGCCCGCTGCCCTCGTAGCTGTGTGCGAGGAAATGGTCCTCCGGCTTGGGCAGGTGCAGCATGGCTCGTAACCACATGCGCCAACTCGTGCAGGCCACTTTAGGCAGGCCGCAGTAGGCTAGATTGAGTGATGCTGCAGTGAGCAGGGCAGTGGGGATGGGGGGTGCAAGGAGGTTGAGAGTGGTTAATGGGAGGCGGAACGGTCGCCCACTTCTCACTGAAAACGGTCGCCTCCTTCTCGGTGAACTTCTGGGAGAGGTCCCCCAGCCCGCTGCCCTCGTAGCTGTGTGCGAGGAAATGGTCCTCCGGCTTGGGCAGGTGCAGCATGGCTCGTAACCACATGCGCCAACTCGTGCAGGCCACTTTAGGCAGGCCGCAGTAGGCTAGATTGAGTGATGCTGCAGTGAGCAGGGCAGTGGGGATGGGGGGTGCAAGGAGGTTGAGAGTGGTTAATGGGAGGCGGAACGGTCGCCCACTTCTCACTGAAAACGGTCGCCTCCTTCTCGGTGAACTTCTGGGAGAGGTCCCCCAGCCCGCTGCCCTCGTAGCTGTGTGCGAGGAAATGGTCCTCCGGCTTGGGCAGGTGCAGCATGGCTCGTAACCACATGCGCCAACTCGTGCAGGCCACTTTAGGCAGGCCGCAGTAGGCTAGATTGAGTGATGCTGCAGTGAGCAGGGCAGTGGGGATGGGGGGTGCAAGGAGGTTGAGAGTGGTTAATGGGAGGCGGAACGGTCGCCCACTTCTCACTGAAAACGGTCGCCTCCTTCTCGGTGAACTTCTGGGAGAGGTCCCCCAGCCCGCTGCCCTCGTAGCTGTGTGCGAGGAAATGGTCCTCCGGCTTGGGCAGGTGCAGCATGGCTCGTAACCACATGCGCCAACTCGTGCAGGCCACTTTAGGCAGGCCGCAGTAGGCTAGATTGAGTGATGCTGCAGTGAGCAGGGCAGTGGGGATGGGGGGTGCAAGGAGGTTGAGAGTGGTTAATGGGAGGCGGAACGGTCGCCCACTTCTCACTGAAAACGGTCGCCTCCTTCTCGGTGAACTTCTGGGAGAGGTCCCCCAGCCCGCTGCCCTCGTAGCTGTGTGCGAGGAAATGGTCCTCCGGCTTGGGCAGGTGCAGCATGGCTCGTAACCACATGCGCCAACTCGTGCAGGCCACTTTAGGCAGGCCGCAGTAGGCTAGATTGAGTGATGCTGCAGTGAGCAGGGCAGTGGGGATGGGGGGTGCAAGGAGGTTGAGAGTGGTTAATGGGAGGCGGAACGGTCGCCCACTTCTCACTGAAAACGGTCGCCTCCTTCTCGGTGAACTTCTGGGAGAGGTCCCCCAGCCCGCTGCCCTCGTAGCTGTGTGCGAGGAAATGGTCCTCCGGCTTGGGCAGGTGCAGCATGGCTCGTAACCACATGCGCCAACTCGTGCAGGCCACTTTAGGCAGGCCGCAGTAGGCTAGATTGAGTGATGCTGCAGTGAGCAGGGCAGTGGGGATGGGGGGTGCAAGGAGGTTGAGAGTGGTTAATGGGAGGCGGAACGGTCGCCCACTTCTCACTGAAAACGGTCGCCTCCTTCTCGGTGAACTTCTGGGAGAGGTCCCCCAGCCCGCTGCCCTCGTAGCTGTGTGCGAGGAAATGGTCCTCCGGCTTGGGCAGGTGCAGCATGGCTCGTAACCACATGCGCCAACTCGTGCAGGCCACTTTAGGCAGGCCGCAGTAGGCTAGATTGAGTGATGCTGCAGTGAGCAGGGCAGTGGGGATGGGGGGTGCAAGGAGGTTGAGAGTGGTTAATGGGAGGCGGAACGGTCGCCCACTTCTCACTGAAAACGGTCGCCTCCTTCTCGGTGAACTTCTGGGAGAGGTCCCCCAGCCCGCTGCCCTCGTAGCTGTGTGCGAGGAAATGGTCCTCCGGCTTGGGCAGGTGCAGCATGGCTCGTAACCACATGCGCCAACTCGTGCAGGCCACTTTAGGCAGGCCGCAGTAGGCTAGATTGAGTGATGCTGCAGTGAGCAGGGCAGTGGGGATGGGGGGTGCAAGGAGGTTGAGAGTGGTTAATGGGAGGCGGAACGGTCGCCCACTTCTCACTGAAAACGGTCGCCTCCTTCTCGGTGAACTTCTGGGAGAGGTCCCCCAGCCCGCTGCCCTCGTAGCTGTGTGCGAGGAAATGGTCCTCCGGCTTGGGCAGGTGCAGCATGGCTCGTAACCACATGCGCCAACTCGTGCAGGCCACTTTAGGCAGGCCGCAGTAGGCTAGATTGAGTGATGCTGCAGTGAGCAGGGCAGTGGGGATGGGGGGTGCAAGGAGGTTGAGAGTGGTTAATGGGAGGCGGAACGGTCGCCCACTTCTCACTGAAAACGGTCGCCTCCTTCTCGGTGAACTTCTGGGAGAGGTCCCCCAGCCCGCTGCCCTCGTAGCTGTGTGCGAGGAAATGGTCCTCCGGCTTGGGCAGGTGCAGCATGGCTCGTAACCACATGCGCCAACTCGTGCAGGCCACTTTAGGCAGGCCGCAGTAGGCTAGATTGAGTGATGCTGCAGTGAGCAGGGCAGTGGGGATGGGGGGTGCAAGGAGGTTGAGAGTGGTTAATGGGAGGCGGAACGGTCGCCCACTTCTCACTGAAAACGGTCGCCTCCTTCTCGGTGAACTTCTGGGAGAGGTCCCCCAGCCCGCTGCCCTCGTAGCTGTGTGCGAGGAAATGGTCCTCCGGCTTGGGCAGGTGCAGCATGGCTCGTAACCACATGCGCCAACTCGTGCAGGCCACTTTAGGCAGGCCGCAGTAGGCTAGATTGAGTGATGCTGCAGTGAGCAGGGCAGTGGGGATGGGGGGTGCAAGGAGGTTGAGAGTGGTTAATGGGAGGCGGAACGGTCGCCCACTTCTCACTGAAAACGGTCGCCTCCTTCTCGGTGAACTTCTGGGAGAGGTCCCCCAGCTCGCTGCCCTCGTAGCTGTGTGCGAGGAAATGGTCCTCCGGCTTGGGCAGGTGCAGCATGGCTCGTAACCACATGCGCCAACTCGTGCAGGCCACTTTAGGCAGGCCGCAGTAGGCTAGATTGAGTGATGCTGCAGTGAGCAGGGCAGTGGGGATGGGGGGTGCAAGGAGGTTGAGAGTGGTTAATGGGAGGCGGAACGGTCGCCCACTTCTCACTGAAAACGGTCGCCTCCTTCTCGGTGAACTTCTGGGAGAGGTCCCCCAGCCCGCTGCCCTCGTAGCTGTGTGCGAGGAAATGGTCCTCCGGCTTGGGCAGGTGCAGCATGGCTCGTAACCACATGCGCCAACTCGTGCAGGCCACTTTAGGCAGGCCGCAGTAGGCTAGATTGAGTGATGCTGCAGTGAGCAGGGCAGTGGGGATGGGGGGTGCAAGGAGGTTGAGAGTGGTTAATGGGAGGCGGAACGGTCGCCCACTTCTCACTGAAAACGGTCGCCTCCTTCTCGGTGAACTTCTGGGAGAGGTCCCCCAGCCCGCTGCCCTCGTAGCTGTGTGCGAGGAAATGGTCCTCCGGCTTGGGCAGGTGCAGCATGGCTCGTAACCACATGCGCCAACTCGTGCAGGCCACTTTAGGCAGGCCGCAGTAGGCTAGATTGAGTGATGCTGCAGTGAGCAGGGCAGTGGGGATGGGGGGTGCAAGGAGGTTGAGAGTGGTTAATGGGAGGCGGAACGGTCGCCCACTTCTCACTGAAAACGGTCGCCTCCTTCTCGGTGAACTTCTGGGAGAGGTCCCCCAGCCCGCTGCCCTCGTAGCTGTGTGCGAGGAAATGGTCCTCCGGCTTGGGCAGGTGCAGCATGGCTCGTAACCACATGCGCCAACTCGTGCAGGCCACTTTAGGCAGGCCGCAGTAGGCTAGATTGAGTGATGCTGCAGTGAGCAGGGCAGTGGGGATGGGGGGTGCAAGGAGGTTGAGAGTGGTTAATGGGAGGCGGAACGGTCGCCCACTTCTCACTGAAAACGGTCGCCTCCTTCTCGGTGAACTTCTGGGAGAGGTCCCCCAGCCCGCTGCCCTCGTAGCTGTGTGCGAGGAAATGGTCCTCCGGCTTGGGCAGGTGCAGCATGGCTCGTAACCACATGCGCCAACTCGTGCAGGCCACTTTAGGCAGGCCGCAGTAGGCTAGATTGAGTGATGCTGCAGTGAGCAGGGCAGTGGGGATGGGGGGTGCAAGGAGGTTGAGAGTGGTTAATGGGAGGCGGAACGGTCGCCCACTTCTCACTGAAAACGGTCGCCTCCTTCTCGGTGAACTTCTGGGAGAGGTCCCCCAGCCCGCTGCCCTCGTAGCTGTGTGCGAGGAAATGGTCCTCCGGCTTGGGCAGGTGCAGCATGGCTCGTAACCACATGCGCCAACTCGTGCAGGCCACTTTAGGCAGGCCGCAGTAGGCTAGATTGAGTGATGCTGCAGTGAGCAGGGCAGTGGGGATGGGGGGTGCAAGGAGGTTGAGAGTGGTTAATGGGAGGCGGAACGGTCGCCCACTTCTCACTGAAAACGGTCGCCTCCTTCTCGGTGAACTTCTGGGAGAGGTCCCCCAGCCCGCTGCCCTCGTAGCTGTGTGCGAGGAAATGGTCCTCCGGCTTGGGCAGGTGCAGCATGGCCCGCAGCCACATGCGCCAACTCGTGCAGGCCACCTTGGGAAGCCCGCAGTACGCTAGGTTGAGAGATGCTGCAGGGAGGAGGGTGGTGGGAAAAGGGGGGGAGTGCAGATGGGTGCTGGGGTGGGGGAGAGTATACAGTGTGGGACATGGCATGGCATGAGGTATGAGAGATGAATCGCAGACAGGTGGGAGCGTGTGGAGCGAGGGTTGATGGTGGATGGATGGGTGGTTGCATGGCATGGCATGGCATGAGAAAGCACAGCACTCACGTTCAACCACAAAGAACTTGGCGAAGAGTTGACGAGGGATGGGTGAGATGGGGGGGACGTGGCACACAGGAGGCAGCATGCGGAAGGAGGGGTTGCGGGCGAGAGCACGGGCGCGGATGAAGTCTGCTGCTGGCGATGGCCGCATGTGCAGCATGGCGCGTGTGTTGGCGAGAAGGAGTAATTCGGCGAACTGGGATGGAGGGGAGAGAGGGCGGGGGAAGGGAGAGCAGGGAAGGGGCATAGGGAGGGCACGGGCACGGATGAAGTCTGCTGCTGGGGATGGTCGCATGTGCAGCATGGCTTGCGTGTTGGCCAGGAGTAATAGCTCGGCGAACTGGGATAGGAAAAAGGAAATAGGGCAAAAGGGAGGACAGGGGAGGGGCAAAGGGGGGGCTTTATTTGAATAAAGTCTGCTGCTGGCGATGGCCGCATGTGCAGCATGGCTTGGGTGTTGGCGAGGAGTAGCAGTTCAGCAAACTGTAAAAGGGGAGCGGGGCGGAAGGGTATAGGAGGGGTATTGGAGAGAGGGGTATAGGTGGGACACAGGAGGGGAATACGAAGGACATATGTGATGGTCATACGTTGAGTCGTCCACATATGCATGCATCCATTCAAAAATACCTGCACAAGTGGATGCACGGATAGTTTTTTTGTAGGTTGATTTTGAGAATTCTCAAAATCAACCCACAAGTAGATACACGGACAAACACACAAAAAAACTAAAAAAATAACCAAGTGATTTTGAGGCGTCTCAAAACCACCCTTCTCTCACCTGGCTAATAAAGAGCCAAGTGAGGCTCTCCCCTCCGCAGCCCACCTGTGCCCTCTCAACACAAGCAAGGCTCTCACCTCATGCTGTTGACACGCGATCAGCACTCTCCTTGCTCTCTCCACGGCCCCAGCATCCACTCTCCTCGCCTCTTCCACCACACCCATCGCCTCCTTCTCCCGTTCTGCCACCAACCCAATCACCGAAACCAACTCATCGACACTCACATTCGCATACCCCTGCCTCCCCTTCCCTCCCCCTCTTCCTCCTCCTCCCCTCCCTCCCTCTCCCCCTCCTCCTCCCACACCCTTTCCTCCACCCGTTCCAGCCTCCGAAGCAGGCGAGCCCGGCTGCTTCGGCCTGCCAGGTCCGGCGGCCCAAGCAGGTTCGGCATCCATCAGGCCCGGCGTGGCCATGAGCTTTTTGATCGCAGGTTCGGTGCATCTGGCCGCTCTAAACTCGGCAGATGGGGACATGAAAGGGGCGCGATTCGGGTCGAAGAAATCGGCGATCGCGGTGGGATGGGAGGGGTCTTGAGAAGCGATGGTGAGTTCGATCGACGGGCGGCGGAGAATTTCCATCGCGATGCTCCGGGCGGCGCAGTCGGAAATTTGCCTGCCCGGCGGGCAGCCGGAGCAGGATGATTGGTCGGTGGGCGGCTGGGAGGGATGGGGGGAACGGGCGGGGGAACAGGAGAGAGATGGTGAATGCAAGGAGATGCCAAGCCCTCAAGGTGACTTTTGAGTCGACTCAAAAGTCACCTCGTTACAAATGAAGGAGATGCCAAACACTCAATTAAGCAAGAAAACAAAGGGAGAAGAGAATGCGTGTAAAAAGTGGGTGCGTGCGTTTGGAAACGAGGGTGTGTGTGTGTGTGCGAGAGGGTGGAGCAGCAGGAGAGAGAAGGGAGGAGTAGAGTAGGGGTAGCAGTACATACATCCACATAGCCGGCAGTTCTCTGGGTGACAAGTGTCGTGTTGAATTGAGTGGGCACGTGTATGAGAGAGAAAACGAGAGGTGCACCAGGAGAGAGGAGGACGAGGAGGAGAGAGGGGGAGTGGGGTTAGTGGTACATACATCAACATAGACGGCCGTGCTCTGGGTGACACGTGTCATGTTGAGATTGGTGGACTCCACAATGCCTCTGACCGCCTCCGAGGGCTGCAGGCGAGCGTAGCAGCGGTGAAACTCCTCCAGCACCAGACACCCCACCACCTTCTCCTGTTGTTGGGGGAAGCCAAAAAAGCTCGTACAAAGGAAGTGCAAATGAGGCACGAAGGGAGAGCGGATGCAGGCGAGCGTAGCAGCGGTGAAACTCCTCCAACACCGAACACCCCACCACCTTCTCCTGTTGTTGGGGAGAGAGGAAGTGATTGAAGAAGCACAAGGGGGGGCACATGGGAGGCATGACGGGAAGGAAAGGCTGCAGGCGAGCGTAGCAGCGGTGGAACTCCTCCAATACCAAACACCCCACCACCTTCTCCTGTTGTTGGGGGAGAGAGGAAGTGAGTGGAGCAGCATAAAGGGGGGGAACGGGAGGCATGGAGGGAAGGAAAGGCTGCAGGCGAGCGTAGCAGCGGTGAAACTCCTCCAACACCAAACACCCCACCACCTTCTCCTGTTGGGGAAGACACGTTAGTGGGTACAAAGGATATACAAGGGAGGCACAAGGGGTGGACGGCTGCAGGCAAGTGTAGCAGCGATGAGAGGGGTAAAAACTCCTCCAACCAACACCAGACCCTCTGCTCAAAGCAGTGAGGTAATTTTTGAGGCGCCTCAAAAGAGCACCTCACTGCTAGAGGGGTAGAGACTCCCCCAACCAACACCAGACCCTCTGCTCAAAGCCTCCACCTCCTACCCGCTTACTCCACCCCCCACTCACGAAGTTGGTGCCGTGGAGAGTCTTCACGGCCACTCACACGCGCATGGTATGACACACATGCACCCTGCAGGCTACCCCTTTCCCCCACACCCTCTGTCTACCTTCTTGCCCTTCCCCAACTCACGAAGTTGGTGCGGCTGAGCGCTCTCACGACCACCCACGGCCAGATGTTAAGAGAGAGTCGCCCTACGCTCTACACCCTCTGCCCAAGCCCTCCACCACCATCACCCTCACCGCCTCCTTCTCACGAAGTTGGTGCGGCTGAGCGCCCTCACGGACACCCACACGTCCAGAGAGAGTCTCCCTGCGCCATAGACCTTCGTCTCCTACCCTCCACCTACCCCTGTACCCCAAGCAGCACTCACGAAGTTGGTGCGGTTGAGAGCTCTCACGGACACCCACACGTCCAGAGACAGCCGTTCCGCTTCAGAGGGGTCGAGCACTGCGCTGCTGCGCCCGCACTGCCCAAACCGCATCTGGTGATTGGGAGAGGAGGGGAGGGAAGGGAGGGAGAGGGAAGGGAGGGGGAGGGAAGGGAGGGCGAGGGAGGGACGCACCGCTTCAGAGGGGTCCAGCGCTGCGATGCTGCGCCCGCACTGCCCAAACCGCATCTGGTGTGGCCAGGAGGGGGGGGAGGGGAGAAGGAGGGTGGGTGGGGGGGCCAACACAGCGCTCCGCTTCAGAGGGGTCGAGAGCTGCGCTGCTGCGCCCGGACTGCCCAAACCGCATCTGGCGATTCGGGGAAGGCGGGAGGGGGGGGAGCGTGCATGCAGGGGGTTAGCGCGGAGGGGAGAGGGATGAGGGGGGACACCCAGGTCCAGTGACAGGCGCTCCGCTTCAGAGGGGTCGAGAGCTGCACTGCTGCGCCCGCACTGCCGAAACCGCATCGGGTGTGGCCAGGAGAGGGGGGAGGGGAGAAGGTGAAGGGGAAGGGGTGGGGGTGAAGGAGGGCGGGACACAGGCGCTCCGCTTCAGAGGGGTCCAGCGCGGCACTACTCTGCCCGCACTGCCCAAACCGCATCGGGTGTTTGGGGTGTGGCAGTGTGGAGGGGAAGGGAGAGGGAGATTGGAGGAAATGTGGGGGGCGGAGGGGTGCGCAGGGGAAATGTGGGGGGCGGAGGGGTGCGCAGGGGAAACGTGGGGGGCGGAGAGGTGCGCAGGGGAAATGTGGGGGGCGGTGGGGTTTGCAGAGGAAATGTGGCAGTAACGGGCGACAGCACTTGAAGACGTGTCATTCGCTTCACTACCCGTCGCCTTACCGTCTTGGGCACGAACGGGTGCCGGAGGGGGCAATGTGGGCGTGGAGAGAGATGCAAGTGCTCATGATTGCCTTAACGCCCTTCAGCCTTACCGTCTTGGGCACGAACGGGTGCGCGAGAAACGCTCTAGTGGCTGTAACGGGCGACAGCGTTCCCCCCGTATCAATCACCACCGGCCCGCCCCCCCGTCCGCCCGCGTTCGCCCCGCCTCCCCCTCTCTCCCCCGCCATAGTCACTTCCCCCCCCGCCCCTCTTTTCGGCTCTCTCCTTCCCCAAAAGATTTTCCCCCTTGACCGCGCGCTCCCTCCCCCTGCGCTTCCCCCGCTCGCTCCCCCTCCGCCGCCCAAAAGAATCTCACTGGGCGGCACGTAGATCGTCCCCTCGTCTTTTAGCCAAACGACACGGAGAGAGAGGCGGGAAATGGCGGCGGTGGCGTTGGCTAGGCAGAGGGTTTGAAGGCGGCTCGAGAGGGGGCCCATGGCGAATGCGATCATTTTGTATCGCGAGCACGTCGCAGCGCTGGGGGATTCGTCGCACGGGTCGCGCAGGTCGTCGCGAACGAGCATTCGTCGGCTGTCGCCGCCGTCGTCGTCTGCGAAATCGATGTACTTCGCGTAGCGTCGCAGCAGCGACGAGTGGTGCAAGAATGCGATTGCGGTGAGGACGAAAATTGTCGCAGGAACGAGCGTCGCCTTGCGACGCCATGGCGATGCTTTCGATCCAGTTTTATTCGCAGGCGATTTTCGCGAACCTCTCGTAGTTTCTCCTGGAGTACTACTAATTGGTCTAGGGATCTCCGTTACGGCCATATTATGCAATTGATTAACTAGCACTAATATTCAAGTCACGTGCAACAGAGAATTGACCATGAACCATCGTGATTGTGTCCTAATCGTGCGAAGAATGTGGTAAGTTAGTTAGCTAGGAAAACAAACGCAACGGCTATATGCTTGGATCTAGCCGACGCGCGTTTCCCTTTGTTTGAAGCCTAGAGATCAGCGGGGCACAGGTGGGGTGGGGCGACAGGATCATGTTGTGATATGTTGTGTCCTGAAAGCAATTGACGGGCGGACATCCATCATATGCATTGTATCTGGGCACTACACAACGTGTACATGTTTCAAACGAGGATAAAATTACGCGATGGCGGGAAGATGGTGGCGACCCGGTGCGCAAACGGCCAGCTCCCTGCCCGCGGAAACCCGGCCCTGGCGAACCAAGGCGGATGGGTCTTCTTTCCTGAAGTTATAGTGAACAGCTGCTAAAAAAGAGAAAAAAGTCGAAACGGACAATGCTTATTTCGCGTATACAAGACCAGACCACTATGCTCGAAACTTTTCGCGAAAGCCTTCAGGTCGCTGTTGCGTGGTTTCTGATCACAAACACTTCGTGGGATCCAATTTTGAATGGTAACTTCAGCTTGACTGTTCGCACAAGTCAGGTCAGAGAAACCTCCAGTATAACCAACGAAGGGCGTGTCCCAGTTTCGTGCACATGTTACGCTTCGTTGCTGTCGCAAAACGTGCTGCGAAGCGCAACCTCTCAATCACACACCCGTGCCGCACAAAACGAGTCGCATTCTCCTTCATTTGGATTCAATTTCAACAGAACCTGATCAGCCGAACACACAAAACACTCAGCAGAGGTTTCCCCTCACCAAATTCGCCCCCTTTCACAGGATCACACGACATTTCCTCTCACAACAGCAGCAACGACAGGCAGTACTGTGGATCGAATGAGGGCTGGTCAGGAAATCCACTTTCATGACGAACCGTCTCTTTTCCTGCGATTATCTGACGAGCGCGGGGTCAGTACGTCGAATTCGCCGCACGACAGTATAGTGAAAGCGCCCTCAGATGTTGGCCCGTGAAAGTCCACATGAACGCCACGGGAAGAAAGCCTGTCTGCGTAACCACAGCAGCCATGGCAGCAGCCAGGGCTGGCAATATCAGCGACCGTGGCTCTGACCGCCATCAAACATAAGGTTTCTAGGCCATGCGAAAGAGTTGTTTCGCACTCGGATCAGAATACTGTCGTGACCTCATTGCGGACACAAAATTGAGTAAACAATCGAGTGATTTTTGCACTGCGATACACGTCTATAAAAAAATGAGAGACCTGAGCGTATCGCCTCGAGGCTTTTAGTAAGTTTAACGAAGGGATCTCGGCGGTTGTGCTGCGCCTCCGGCATCACACACCAATCCGGCAGAAGGACGCACGCCAGGTTGCCGCCACGCTCGAGGTGCTTGAAATCTTCGGTGATTCTTGAGTCTACTAAATAATCGCCGCCAGCGACCTCACACACCGCTGAATCAGAAGGACGCAAGGCTTGGCGCCCACGCGCTTCATCGACGAGACGTCCGAGCCCTTCGTCCTCATGGTGCGTGCATTTGTGTCTCATCCTAAATTGAGGGTTTCAGATTACTTTTCCAGCCTGGGTAACCGAGAGAGCTTGTTTGTTTGTTTGTTTGTTCTCTTTCGTTTTTTCTTTTTTTCTTTCCTTTTTTCTTAATCTCGTTCGTACTCCGAGACTGAAAGAACAGCACTCTAGCCTGCCCTTGCTCTTTGGTGGCTAATCAGTCTCTCGACCCCTCTCCTTCTCCCCTCTCATGGTCATGCAGGGTCCTGTGTTGGTTCCTCGCTTTGGCGAATGGAACGAAACGCCTCTCTCTCCCTCTCCAGAGGTTCTTTCGCCAACAGGACTCACTGGCGAAACAGTTACCAAGCGAACCGGATTTCGCTCCCACCAACCCTCTCGTCAATCCTCCCCAGCTTCCGCACGCCAGTCCCGCTCCGCATCTCCAAACCTCCGACAGCCGCTGATCGCCCTCCAGCGCCGATCAGACGGCTCTCCTTCCGCCACGTCATCTCGTTCCAATGAGCCGAGTCTCGTGAGGAGCAGCAGCGGCGGATTCTCAGGGTGGCGCCGCAGACGCCCAGCCAGCCCTGCAGCCTCTTCTAGTAGTAATACCTCCCGCACTACGTCCAATACTACGTCCATAACCTCTACTGCTACTGCCAAAGGTAGCACCCAGAATACACCAGTGCTGCCGTCGACTCGAGCTCGCCTTGTCAGCACAGCAACAGCAGCTGCAGCAGCAGCACGAGCAGCACAAGCAGCAGCAGCAAGCGTGCCAGCACCACACTCCCAAACCAGCCGCCCAAGCCTCGCGAGACTCCCAAGCCTGGGGAACCTCCCGAGCCTCACAAGCCCGAGGCAAGGCGAGGTCACGTCCTCAGCTCAAGGCAAATCCCTGGGTGAGATTTTGAGGAGGCAGAGGGAGGAGGGTGGGGGCCATGGAGGGGGGGTGTACTCAGGAGAATTCCTTAAAGCCCGCCTTGCTCGGAGCGCCAGTGCCTCCCGTGCCTCCCTGCTGCAATCCCAAGGGAGCAATTCCCGGGGAATCGAATCCCCAGGGATCCAATCTCGAGGAATCGAATCCCAAGAAACCAAATCCCGGGAAGTGGAATCCCAAAGGCTGGAGCAGAAGGGGGAGCATGGAGGTTCAGATTTGACCAGAAACCGGATTTCCCAGATAACACCTGCTAACATGTCCCTGTGGAGGCACCGTGAACACAGCAGCAACAGCAGCAGCAACAGCAGCGGCAGCAAGCACGGGTGGCATGGGCATACAGGGATGGGCCAGGGCTTGAGTAAGAGTGGCTGGGGTGGTAGAAACAGTGGTGGGGTTCGGTCCAACCTGACGGCCAAAACCAGCCGGCCAGTCAGTTTCCTGACGGCTAGCAGTAAGGGCGCGGTGGGTGATGCTGAGGAGACGGATTCTGGTGGGATTCTGACTGCCAGGAGTGCGGATTCTGTCGGTTTGACAGATTCTGTTTGCTTGACGGATCATTTGACGGATTCTGTTTGCTTGACAGATCCCTTGACGGATTCTGTCAGCTTGACAGGTCACAGTTCGATGGACGTGAGCCAGAAGCATCTAATGGATGAGATGAGTCGAGTCAGCATGTCAAGCCAGGTCAGCATGGGGTACAGCCACGTCAGCAAGGGATCCAGCCAAATCAGCGCTGGCTCAAGCCACGTCGACAGCACCGTCGAGTCATCAACATCCTCCTCAAGCCACGTCAGCAGGGCGTCCATGTCAGCATGGTCGCCACGTAGGCTCGGGAGCCCCCTCAGGTTCGGCAGCCCGTTTGGTTCGTGGAGGACCAGCAGCCGCACTTCCGAAGCTAGCAGCGGGCGTGACACCAAAGAGAGTGGTGACAGTAACGGGAGTGACAGTAGCAGGAGGTGGGTGGGGAGCAGCAGGGTGTCTTCAACATGTGACAATAACGAGGGGAAGAGGAGGTATGGCAGTGCTAAAAGAGCTTCGGAGAGTTCTCGGAGGGATGGGTGGATCAACAGTGGTAAGCTGCTTCCTGAAATCAGCGCTGATGTCAGCTTCGCCAGCACTGACATCAGCAACGTCAGCAATGATGACAGTTGCGTCAGCAGTTACGTCAGCCACATCAGCAAGGATGTCAGCAACGTCAGCAGCACCATCAGCGGCAGCAGTCTGACCAATCACAGCGCACCATACCATGATGATGTCAGCTACACCGATGATGACATCAGCAACCCAAATGGGAATCTCGACGCCAGCAGCACCATCAGTACACTCCGTACCCCTTACAGTCCCACGGGCAGCAGCGCGAGCAGCAGCGGGACGGCAAGCAACAGCAGGCGAACAGTCATACCGAAATTTGGTGAATGGTTGGATCCGAAACGCGATCACGACCGCACGATATACAATAGTGAGTCCACTCGTAAAGTGTACGAAGGTGGTCGTTACAGTGCTTACGGGGATGCTACCAGCAGCAGCAGCAGCAGCAGGAGAAGCAGCAGCAGCAGAATGCCACAGAACCACCACCACCCACTCCTCCAGCAGAACAGCAGGAGTGAAATCAGTAGCACCTGCACCAGGAGCAGCACCAGCAATACTAACAATAACATCAACAGCAGCAGCACATACACGTGCAGCAGGTATACAGGGAGTATCCAGAGCAGAGGGAGGAGAGGAAGTGCAGAGACGGAGTCTACAGGCAGCTGTGTCAGCAGCAGCAGCAACACACACGTCAGCAGCAGCAACACACACGCCAGCAGCAGCAAATACACCAACAGCGGCAGCAAGTACAGTGGCAACTATGGCAGCAACTACAGCAGCAGTCACAGGGGCGGTTCTGCTTACAGTGGCATAGGAAGCGGCAAGACCGGAAGCAGTGGTGTTTCCAGCATCCGGAACGCTGTTGGTGCTGCTGTTGGTGCTGCTTCTGCTGGGGATTCTGATACTCGCAGCAGCATTGCCAGCAGCACAGGTACCAGAAGCAGCACTCCCGGAGGGGGCTGTGCGGGTGGGGGCCATGCTAGTAGGGGATATTTTTCTAGGGAAACGGAAGGAAGAGGGGATGTCTGGAGGGGAGAGGAAGAGATAGAGTCGCAGGAGGACTTTCCTTACTCTGAGGTGTTTGAGAGGGCGCGGAGAGAGACTCGATCGAGGAGAGAGTCGGAAACTGATGAGACGTCTCAGGATGAATATTCAGAGACCATTGAGGCGCCTCATAGGGATAGCATGGAGGGAAGGAAGGCGCAGGAGGGTTTTCCTTACTCTGAGGTGTTTGAGAGGGCGAGGAGAGAAAGGCGAGAGGCACAGGCTGCAAGGGAGAGAGGAGCGGAGGAAGAGGAGGAGGAGAAAGGGGGATCTGGAATAGGGAGTGAGAGGGAGAGTGAAAGAGGGAGTGAGAGAGTGTGCGATAGAGGGTCTGATATAAGCGAGGATGCGAGTGGGAGCAGTGCAAGGGCAAGCTTTGGAAGGGAGAGTGAAGCAAGTGAAAGGGTGGGTTTAGCAGCAGTAAGGGAGACAGAGAGAATAGGAGCAGCACCAAAAGCAGTTGTGGGTGTGGCGGCAACACGAAAGGCGCTTCTGTCGTGTGAGAGCAGTGGAGAGGCGGCGAGGTTACAGCAGAGGATGGTGAGGGAGATGGCTGCTGGACGATTAGTAGGAGGAGGAGGAAAAGGAGGAGGAAGAGGGGGAGGAAGCGGAGGAGGACGGGTTGACTCAGATGAGCAGGGAAGAGAGGCCAGGTTCGGTCCCAACCCTTCCGAACCTCTGCAAGAGGCCAGGGAGAGGTTGGGAAATGGGAGAGCTGAGGACGGGCGGGAGAAGGGAGGGGGTCAAGAGGGAGAAGAGCAGGGGGAGGGCGAGGATGAGGAAGAGAGGAGAGACGAGGAGAAGGGAAAGGATGTTGGAAGCCATGTGGGAGTACCGACGGGGATGCACAGGGACGTGGCAGAGGAGCAGCCGCAAGTGCTGCAGGGATGCACAGGGGCCGCTTCTGAAGAACCCATCTCAAATGCTGCACGGCCCATCTCCATGTACTTAGGTGCTAACTCTGCACCGAGCTCCAGTGCTGCATTGCTGCACAGGAGTGTGAGTGTTGGGGCGGTGGACTGGGGGCGAGGGAGTGAGGGATCGGCTAGGGGGCTGAAGCAAATTAGCGAGTGGCTGGAGAGGCAGGAGGAGGAGGGGGCTGGGGGGGTGGGCGGGGGGGTGAGTGGGGCGACTGCGGTGAGAGGGATGAGTGGGGTAAGTGGAGTGCAAGGGACATTGGGGAATGAGGCTAAAGCTGTCAGCGTGGTTGCCCAGACACGAACCAGCTCAGTTCGAATCAGCCCGGCTCTCCAAGAGCCCTCACAGCGGCACTTTTGGAGGAACCTTCCTCTCGCCCTGCCGACTGCCCCTGCAGCAGCAACAGCAGCAGCAGGAGGAGCAAGTGGAGCAGGAGCAGTAGTGCCCCTCTCGCATGAATTTGATACAACATCGGCATCATCATCATCAGCAGCAGCAGCAGCAGCAGCGGCAGCAGCAGCACCACCACCACCACCCACAACAGCGGCACCACCACCACCACCACCCATTCCCCCCACATCAGCAGCGTTGCTCCCACTGAAGCCTTCCCATCCCTTTCAAAGGACTCTTTCGGGCAGCCGAATGCTTCCGGGCAGGCCGCCGCGCAGCTGGGAAAACATATCGGGCGGGGACTTAGAGGACGGTGGGGCTGGGCAGTTAATTGGTGGGCAGCTGAGCAGAGTGCGAGTGAGCGAGTATCAGATGCTGCAAGCCCACAAGGTGAGATAGCAGAAGGTGAGATCGCATGAGGTAAGCTCACACAAGGTACCCATACCCCTCATTGTACCCTTGCCTTGGTGGGGACTTAGGAGAGGGCGGAGGTGGCGGGCAGTTGGTTGGAGGGCAACTGAGCAGAGCGCGAGTGAGCGAGTATCAGATGCTCCAAACCCACAAGGTATGATCGCTTAAGGTAATACCCCTGGATCTCTTGAGAATTCTCATTGTGCACTCATGCAGCGTGCGAGTGAGCCTCGTTCAAACTGCTCCCGCCTTTCGTCTATCCTCCCACATTCTGTATTTTCGCCCTCCCCTCTCCCCCATCACTTTCACGTGAGCAGGCATCATCCCCATGGCGCTTGTGCTGCGGCCTTCCCTCCGTGCTGCTGTGAACCACATGAGCCACATGAACCACATGAACCACATGAGCCACATGCCACCACTGATCGGCTCAAGAGTAACATCTTACATGCTGCTCCCTCCCTTTCTTCTCTCCTCTATCCTCCCCTATCCCTCCCATGTGAGCAGGCATCATCCCCATGGCGCATGTGCTGCGGCCTGCCCTCCGTGCTGCCGTGAACCACATGCCACATTGCAGCCATCCCAAGTGCATGGAGTCATGACTCATAAACCCACATGCCACCCTGCTACTGCTGCTACTGCTGCCACTGCTACTGTCCCTGCTGCTGCTGTTACTGGTTCTACTGCTGTTGCTTCGGTCACAGGATGGCTGTCCGAACAGTACCCTTGTCTGGTTCGTTTCTTGTACATAGAACTTGTAATATCTCATCAACGGTGCATCCAAAACGGGTACAACAGAACTGTTACCATTCTCAGCATCTCTTCCCACTGAAAGAGTATCTACCTACGCGAAACACAAAAACAAGAACAGCAGAACCACCCAGTGCCCAGTTCACTTGGCAAGGACACACAAGTGCTCCCATAAACAGCTGTTGCCCTTCCGCCCACTAGCCTCATCCATCCCATACCGTAATGCTAAAAAACAAATCGTGTAATTTATCCGACATCTTCAATTGCTGCTCAGTAAACCACCTTCGCACACACATTCAAGCCCACTCTTCCCTTCCAATCCTCACCCCTCCTCAACCCTCCTCCCTCCTGCCCCAACTTCCAATCCTCCTTCCACATTCACCCTCCGCTCCGCACCTCCTGCCCCTCCACTCTAACCACCTTGATAACCTTTTCAAGCCTCTGCCCCTTTCTTTCTGCCTCAGAAATCACTCCCTCACAAGCTCAGCACCTCCAATACCACTCCTGCCTTCTTCAACCCCCCCACTCCTCGTTCAACAGTGTTGGCCCTCCTACTGTTCCCACTTCAATGAAATTCGTTCCCTTACAAAGTCAGCACTTCTAAGGCCAGCCCAGCCTTCTTCAAATCCTCCTCAAGCCGCCCCTTAGCCTCGGCCTCATCCTTCCCCTCCTCTGTCACCACCTTACTGAGCTCTGTCGCCCCTGCTTTCCTCAACACCTCAACCACCCCCTCCCCCTTCCCCGCCTCGCTCCCCTCAATCGCCTTAACAGCAGCCACCACCACCGCCCGCCTCCTCCCGCCATCATACGACATTTCACACACCGACTTGAGTAAGCCGAAATCCGCCGCCCCGGCCGCCACAAAGCCGCCCAGCCACTCGCCCAGGAATCTCGGCGCCTGGGGCACGTCCAGCGCCAGGTCATCGAGCTGCTCGGCCAATGAGAGCATGCCAGCTGTCAGCGCGCTCTCGCCCTTCTCATTAGCTGCGAACGCGCCCTTGGAGTGCAGGTGGGAGAGCAGCCGCCCCACCTCCACACACTCCTTCTCCTTGCCGCCCTCCAGGGCGAAATTCGCCGCAAATTCAACGAATCGGGACGAAACCTCGTGGGATTTCTGCGAGCCGAGCTCTTCCATGCACAGCTGAGCCTCTTTGAGATCCAGCACGGCGAAAAACTCCTTGAGAAGCGACTCAGACTTCCTCTTTGCCACATCGTCCCACGTGCCCGATGCCGCCGCTGCTGCTGCTGCCGGCTTTGCTGCTGCTGCTGCTGCTGGGCCGTTGCTAGCAGCGGCAGGGGCGGCGGGAGTAGCGGCAGCAGGCTTGGGCGCCACAGGTTCGGCTGGTCTGACCGGAGCAGGCTTGGCACCAATCAGAGCGCTCGGCTTGCCGATGAACGCCGACGAGCCTCCCATTCCCGGACCCATACCTGGGCCCATTTTGAGGCCCATGCCTGGCCCCATGCCTGGCCCCATGATCGGTACCGAACCTGCAGCTGCAGCTCCCTGCCGAGCCTGCCCGGCAGCTCCGGCGGTATCCTTCTTCCCACGCCGACCGATCGAAACCGTTTCCCACCCATCCAAATCCACAGGCGGCACCATACCTGCCACCAAGCCTCCCGGCATGCCCGGCATCCCCGGACCTCCGGGCCAGCCAGGCCCGGGAGGGAACATCATCCCCGGACCTCCGGGCACGGCTCCCGAGGCTGCGCCGACCCTGAACGAGGCAGCGCCCTTCCTCAGCCCGAGCGTGGCCTCAGCTTCGGCGTGAATCTGGTCCAGCTTCTTAGCAGTGAGCTCCTTCCTACGTGGCACCCACTTATTGGACCGCAAGTCGACCAGATCGCGGCACATGAAGCGGATGCGAGAGGGGAGGTTCGGCGAGGCCGCGAGGGCTTTAAGGCGGTCGAAGTAGGCGTTGAGCAGCACGGGGTTCCCGGCCTTGCCTGCCGGTTTCTCCTCCATGCCTCGCCCCGCCGTCGCCAGCAGCTGGCAGAGCGCCTCGATGTTCTCCTCTGGGGGCTCTGTCTTGCTGTCGCCTTGCAACTCCTGTGTAAGTGGGGAGGACGGGGGAGGGAATAATGGGGAAAGAATGGGAAGAAAGGCCAGCAGCTGGCAGAGCGCTTCGATGTTCTCCTCTGGGGGCTCCGTCTTGCTGTCGCCTTGGAGCTCCTGGGAAAGAGGGAGTACAGGGGGGGAGGAGAGGAAAGGGCAGGTGAGGCAGGGAAAGTATGAGAATAGAGGCCAGCAGCAGGCAGAGTGCCTCAATGTTCGCCTCTGGGGGCTCCGTCTTGCTGTCTCCTTGCAACTCCTGAGAGACGAGGCGGGAGGGGGAGAGGAGGGGATGCAAGTTATGTGTACGTCAGTTACCTGCCTTTGTAACCCCAGCTGTTACCTGCTTCAGATGCCACCTCTCCCACACAGTATCTGGGCGCACGCGGGCACAATCTTCTCAGGAATGATCTTCTGCTTGTACAGCTCTCCAATCAAGCGAATGCTACCTACCTTGAATGCTGCCTGCCTCCGCTGCTACCTGCCCCACACCGTACCTGAGCGCACGCATGCACGATCTTCTCGGGAATCATCTTCTGCTTGTACAGCTCTCCAATCAGCCTGGGTGTTACCTGCCCTTCAGATGTTACCTGTGTGCCTATGCTACCTCCCCCACACATTACCTGAGCGCACGCATGAACGATCTTCTCAGGAATCATCTTCTGCTTGTACAGCTCTCCAATCAGCCGGATGTTCCCCTGCCTCAGACACTAATCTCTGTAATCTACCTACGATGCTAACTGCTTCAGATGCCACCTGTCCCACACAGTACCTGAGCGCACGCGTGCACGATCTTCTCAGGAATCATCTTCTGCTTGTACAGCTCTCCAATCAGCCGAATGTTACCCTGCCTCGGACACTAATCTCTGTAACCTACCTACGATGCTAACTGCTTCAGATGCTACCTGCCCCACACAGTACCTGAGCGCACGCGTGAACAATCTTCTCGGGAATCATCTTCTGCTTGTACAGCTCTCCAATCAGCCGGATGTTCCCCTGCGTGCGCGCCTTCACCCGCCGCTGCACGTCCTCCCTCTCCTCCGCCTGCCACAAGGAAAGAGAGGGGCAGAGCAGGGTCGCGCAAAGCAGGGAAGGGGAGAGCAGAGGACGGGTGCACAGGGGAGCAGAGGGGGTTTTAGGGGCATCACTCAATGTTCCCCTGCGTGCGCGCCTTCACCCGCCGCTGCACGTCCTCCGTCTCCTCCGCCTGCCACAAGAAAAGAGAGGGGCAGAGCAGGGTCGCGCAAAGCAGGGAAGGGGAGAGCAGAGGACGGGTGCACAGGGGAGCAGAGGGGGTTTTAGGGGCATCACTCAATGTTCCCCTGCGTGCGCGCCTTCACCCGCCGCTGCACGTCCTCCCTCTCCTCCGCCTGCCACAAGGAAAGAGAGGGGCAGAGCAGGGTCGCGCAAAGCAGGGAAGGGGAGAGCAGAGGACGGGTGCACAGGGGAGCAGAGGGGGTTTTAGGGGCATCACTCAATGTTCCCCTGCGTGCGCGCCTTCACCCGCCGCTGCACGTCCTCCCTCTCCTCCGCCTGCCACAAGGAAAGAGAGGGGCAGAGCAGGGTCGCGCAAAGCGGGGAAGGGCAGAGCAGAGGACGGGTGCACAGGGGGGCAGAGGGGGTTTAGGGGCATCACTCAGTGTTCCCCTGCGTGAGTGCCTTCACCCGCCGCTGCACGTCCTCCCTCTCCTCCGCCTGCCACAAGGAAGAATTCAGAGCAAAGGGGCATGGGTGGGGGCGGGGAGGCAAGGGGAATGGGCAGGGAGGGCAAGGGGAATGGGCAGGGAGGGCAAGGGGAATGGGCCCGGGAGGGCAAGGGGAATGGGCAGGGAGGGCAAGGGGAATGGGCAATGAGGGCAAGGGGAATGGGCAAGGAGCTGATTGCTAAACCCCTTGAGCTGCCATCTTTTGCTAAACCCCTTGAGCTCCTGCCACAGCTTCAGCGCCTGCTCAAACTCCTGGCACGTGATCAGCAAGATCACGATACAACCCCCTTCCCACCCTTCCTACTCTTCCCACCCTTCCCACCCTCACCAGACCAGACCAGACCAGACCAGACCAGAACCTCACCTGCTCTTCCTTGGTCAGCCGCTTCAGCTCCTGCCGCAGCTTCAGCGCCTGCTCGAACTCCTCCTGGCAGGTATTCAACAGAATCCTTCAGAAAGTGATCGGCTTGTCCGTGCCTTCGGGCCCCGGGAACTGCGGCAGCGCGTGGGAGAGCTTGTCGCAGAGCTCGGCGTACATGGGGCAGAACGTGGGCTCGTCCACTGCCTTGTCAACACGCCTCCCTCTCCTCCCACTCTTCCCACTCTTCTCTCTCTTCCCACTCTTCCCACCCTTCCCAACCGCACCAGACCAGACCAGAAGGCACCAGACCAGACCAGAAGGCACCAGACCAGACCAGAACCTCACCTGCTCTTCCTTGGTCAGCCGCTTGAGCTCCTGCCTCAGCTTCAGCGCCTGCTCAAACTCCTCCTGGCAGGTATTCAGCAGAATCCGCCTGAAAGTGATCGGCTTGTCCGTCCCTTCGGGCCCCGGGAACTGCGGCAGCGCGTGGGAGAGCTTGTCGCAGAGCTCCGCGTACATGGGGCAGAACGTGGGCTCGTCCACGGCCTTGTCAACACCCCTCCCTCTCTTCCCTCTCTTCCCGCCCTTCCCACCCCTCCCAACCCCACCAGACCCCTCACCTGCTCTTCCTTGGTCAGCCGCTTGAGCTCCTGCCTCAGCTTCAGCGCCTGCTCAAACTCCTCCTGGCACGTGTTGAGCAGAATCCTTCGGAAAGTGATCGGCTTGTCGGTCCCT